AAAACACAAAATGAATTTAAAACACAAAACACAAAACTGAAACACGCCCCTAGATTTGCACGTGGGCCATCACCAGTGGTCGTGAATATCTGCTGTGCCTGCGATTTCAACAAAGAATCGTCAGCTAATTTTCAATGTACAGCACTTTGAAATTGAAATACAACAGAGTGGTGTTGTACTTTTTTGGGTTCTTCTCCTTTGGATGCTGTTGGTTATGGACTCAATGAATGAGAGAACTTGCTGAAATTGACAGATCCCACCGGCATCATATTGGGTTAGTGTCATTTGGATATTTTTTTTTGGAAATCTTGCTCTTTTGTATCATGTATTTATATCTGTAATTTGTACCCAGGAATTTGTGTATTTTTTTGTTTCTTTAGTGCTTTAACCTTCAATGTCCGCTGGACGTATACAATCTGCAAAGCTCTTTTCTTCCCTGTAAACTGACTATCTCTACTTGTTTGTACATCGTCATATATGGAAATTATGATATGAACTTGTCTATATTGTAATTTGTGGTAAATATGAGATAATAGTATTCTGAAATGGGACCTATGAATTCCATTTTGGGATCTTGAATTGAGTAATGGAATTTGGTGCTCTAATATTGAATTTTGAATTCTCATGCCCAATTGTGTGATACTTGAGCTTCCTTGCAGTGTGAATTTCCAGACATTGCACTCTTGCTTCTTTAATAACCAGAGGGCATGGTTGTAAGTTGTAACATCATGTGGTGATAGGACTTCTATATTTGTCAAAGTTTCTTCAACATCCACACATCACAATCCTCTCTTCCAGTGTTTGATAAAAAAATTACATCTCGCATATCAAAGAGAGGTGTGGTGATAGATAAAACAAATGCTAAAGGTTCTTAAATGTAGGTTTTCCTTATAGACTATCTTGGAATCAGAGGAACTTAGTGATGAGGTGTGGAAATAACCATTTTATTTGAAAGAATTATGACTCCATGTGTCACGTGGTGATCGTATAGTGATTTTTTTGGTCAATTAGAATTTTTCTTATAGTAATAACTCATCTTGATCTATTATGCCTCGTTTGGTTAATTTTTAAAATGTCAAACTTCATTTTCAACCATACATTTCAAT